TCCCCTCCACATCGGGCAGTAGCCCCTGCCACAGACAAGACGTTGCATGGAAGTCCTCACCATAACAAACTCCTAGCCCAGTTCAATCCTTCATATCATAAATTTTTAACACAACCCATTATGCTATCAAACTTACAATAGAAAGCAATGTTTACTAAAAATCCAAGCATCACAGAATCACAGAATGTGTTGGGTTGGAACGAACTTTTAAAGCTGATCCAGTCCAACCCCTGCAGTGAGCAGGGACATTGTCACCAGATCAGGCTGCTCAGACCCCATCAAGCCTGGGCTTGAATATCTCCAGGGATGGGGCCTGCACCACCTCTGGGCAATCTGTGCCAGTGATCAACCACCCTCATGGTGAAGAGCTTTTCCCTAATATCCAACCTAAATCTCCCCTTTTCTAGTTTAAAACCATTACCCTCATCCTATCACTACATGCCCCAGTGAACAGCTCTTCCCAGATTTCTTATAGGCACCTTTCAGGTATTGGAAGGTCACTACAAGGTCCCCCTGGAGCCTTCTCCAGGCTGAAGAACCCCAACTCTTTCAGCCTAAATTTGCAGCAGAGGTGGTCCAGCCCTTGGATCAAGTCATCAGGATATAATGGGACTTCTGATGAGTTCAAGAAGGTACTCGAAAAGTCAGTGCCCATATTTAGTGCAACGCTTGATTTTAATAGTTAAAACCACTATGTCCCACTCATTTACTCTTCAAGATATTCTCTCGAGGTCTAAGTCTTAGCAATGTTACTTGCACAATACATTTTGAAGTTCAGCTAAGGTATTTGGCACATCTTATTAAAAGTTACGTTACCGTTGAAAAAGATCCTTCACCCAGTATTTTCCCAAATTTGAAGTCGTCGGGTCGCTTCTTTCGAGGCTGCGGAGGCTGCTGTCCTGTGTGCTGCTGCAAGGAGTTTGAACTGGCTCTTGATTCAGCTGCAGTGCCCTCCATGGTGGCCCCCTGTCTGCTGCCACAGGTGGAAAGGACAGACGGGACAGACGGAGCGCTGGAGTCGGCCTGGTTCCTCACCATTGATGGGGATGAGCAGGAGCACAGCACCACGCTAGACTGGATGGGAACAGCATCATACTGAAGAGAGAAATGAAACTGTTATTCCCATACCTTCAAATAATTACCACACGCATCTACACTTTATTTCTCTATGAGCACCACATGAAGTCCCATTTGAAAGGGTTATCATTAAAATGTCTTTAGGAAGGAACGTTAGTATTTATTTTGGCAATGGCAGCTTTTAATTTGTTAAACAACTCTGTTTAGGTCATGCTGCGCACATACATGTAGCCGTAAGTCAAAAAGTCTGAGCGCCCTAATTCAAGAATCTCTCTTTTCAAACTCAAGGAAATGTTCCCTAACACCAAGGTATCAACTTTCATGGTATATTCTCCTACATGATCTTTAAATTTTATTTCATGCTTTGAGACAGAGTCATCCATCCAATCTTAACAGGCAGCAGTTTTTCTGAAATTAAAAGAACTACCTAGTTACGCAATGAACACCTGTACTAATTAGTAGCATTAATTTAGAGATTCAAGTTACAATGAACTGCAAATGAACAAGCAAAGCATGGAAAATTTAGTGGAGACAAAAAATATATTCCCACATTTTTACTTGGAATCTCACTTTCTCCAATAGTATTTCTCTTCAATATACATTGGCGAAGGACAGCAAGAAAAGAGAGAACAACACACAAAAGGCAGACCAGCTGGGGAGTTTAACAGTCAGCAATATCTAATACTTCTCTGAAGAGCACTCTTGTCCAGGACCTTTTAAAACAAGGGAGATTATTTAATGTGTACATACAGTCACATAAATACATCCCAATTCCAAAACAAAGAACCAGACATATCCCACGAAACAGCCAAGTACAAGAAGATACACTCCAAATACTGATTCTTATAATATACAAACCAAATCACCATTGGTAACCTTTTATCAATTTTTCCCAAGTAAGACCAAGGAAACCTGTCAAGCTGCTTTCCCTCCCTGCTGGTAATACATCTGTTATTTGAAGCAGACACTGGACAGGCTGCTTCACTTGAACCTGGCCAGAAAACACAAGCAACAGGAGAGCTCTGCTGAAGTACTTCTGACAACAAAAACTGAAGTGGTATGCAACAGAGGGAGTAAAGAAAACTGACACCATGTCTGAACATGATTTTGTCATCTCAGTACTCTAGCATATGTCCAGCAGAATGAAACCATCACTTGATGACAACCTCCTAAACCTCAAAACTAGATGCATTATACAACCTTGACCTTGTCTGTAACATACTTCATGTTGATATTCAAATAAACTTTACTTCTGATGAAAAGAATTTTTTAATCTCATTAATTTAAATTTGATACAGAATAATTTTCTGCATTTCTATCAGAAACCACTTCAGAAGGGATTTGCATTCAATCATGCATATGGGCTTAAAGCACCTAGCTCTCAAATTACCAATGACTCACTTGGCTGTGCTCTATGCAGCAGGGAAAAGCAGCCCTTATTTACTGCTAAACTTCTTTCAAAAATAAGATACAATTCAGAAATACACTTTACTTACACATTAAGTGGCATTACAGAACAATGAGACACAAACATTTTTCTAAGCACGCAAAAGTAGACTCTCTGAATTGAGACAGTAACAGGGTCAAAAAGAGTACAGCTAAAACTCTCCATTTTCTCCACTCTCCAGAACTGATATATAAATATCAGCTCCCACAAGATTGAAAATTAACTATTCTTTAGAACAGTCCCCTAATAATATCTTCCAAGAAGCACAAGGGAAGATTCCCTTTCCAACCCGAGTGCAGCCTACTTACTTGCTCCAGGATCTCTATTGCTCCTTAGGGCTTTTTCCAAGAACCATGACTACACCGATAGGGCAGCAGATCAAGAACACGTAACAGCTTTTTTATCAGACCTATGTCTGAGCTCTGTGATACAGCTTTGTGATGCTGAGGAGGAATCTGCCTATAATGACGTCTATTTGCTATATTCCATACAGCTTTTGGGAGGACAAAAGAGGGGCGAAGCTGGGGGCATACCTGGGAGACAGATAGGACAATTCTGGTTTTTGACAAGCTCACTGACTCCTGAGAGCAGTGCATGCCCCTACTCCATCAGTGATGCAGCACTCTTCCCCTTGACAAGAAGGCCACTGATGCTATTATGATGAGAACAGCACATCCACATGAACGTATGCGTGCTAAAGGCCATCGTTCCTTTGATGCCTTCTACGCAGGTATTTTAGCCGACACCTTCCCCAGACCAGTTGTTGTCCCTAAGTTCCCACAGCCCAGCTGAATCACCTTTCCTTCAGACAGCAGCCTG